CAAAATGAATGATGGTCAGCCGCTGTGCAAGAGTAGACTGACAATAAAATGAATTAAAATAAAAGTTCAGTGAATTTACATGAAAATGAAGACAGGGACTTGAGTGTGTGGGTATAAAAGACATATTCATATGAATCAGTCATCCTCTTTCAAGATTATGCAGGTTTGAAATGGATTCTCAATATAATTTGAGTGGGATAAATATGGAAATATTGAATTATCATGAAATTTGGAGACTATCTTTTGTAGAAAGAGAACTATGTAAACGTGCCATAAATCGTTTTAATGATACAATTGTGATTTTATGGAGTCTCGTTGTGTTGAGCTGTCCAGTGTGGTTGGAAAGCTGCTATGAATCAAACATAGGAAATCGGTTGTGTGACACTTTGTTTATGTGAAATCAGTCAGGGCTGCTATGCTATGGTCTAATCTTACACAAGCTCATCTGTCCAAAAAGGAAAAAAAAAACATTGCTGTTTTTAGTTATGTGTATGCAAAAGAAGAGATGATGCTTTTGTGGCACACAAAAGCAGACAAATGTATTTGTACCCTTACTTCTCATTGAGTGGTTCATCTATCCTGAAAGTAGTATAATTAAAAGAAAATGTCTAATGTTCATCTGCTTGCCTTTAGGCAAGGTTATTTTATTTGTGTTGCACATTTCAGCAACGGGTAATTCAAAGTGCTTTACATAATTAAAAAGAAAAAAAGTGAATGCTGCTGCTCCGTGTTTGGGTGTTTATAGGAGTTAGCGCTCGCGCTTGTCTCGGATTGTAAAGTTTTACATTTTGCCTGCTCTGGCAGATGCCACTGGTTGAGGTGACAAAACAAATCGGTGGTTTTATATGACCTCGTCGGAACATGTGGTCAATTTGCAGGGTACACTATTTTGTTTTTTGTCCAACTTTAAATAGCCAAAAATACCGCCACAAGACTGAACTGTCCTGCCCCTTCTTCTTGACAGCATGTCATTCACTGTCTTCTCTGTCTTCTTTTCCTTTGGGATACACTTTTTTTCAGTCCTGGAAAACCATTTACCTGTAGCTGCACAAACATTAGCCTTTGGCGCATCTGACTGCTAATGTCCTGTAACTTTACGTGGCTTTATTCCAGAAATTCCTCTCCAGAACAGCACCTTTGGTTGGCTTTGAACATATGTTAAAGTTTACATTTATCAAGTCCACTATTTCCCAAGAAACACACTTTCAACTAAATGTAGGCATTTCCAAGCAGGATCTTACATTTTAGATAGTTCAAACTGCTTTTAAATTTCTCTACCTCTCTTTAAAATCAAACCAAGAATTTTGTTGCAAAGATTTTAAAACAATCAACTGTACATAATACTAGAGAAACCAATAAATGTTTGATTCTTTATTAAAGCTTCCACAGACGTATTGAGTCCTTGAAATGTTCATTCAGGAATACAAAAATGGGAAACCTAGCAAACGTACCCTGGCTAACGTCTGGATGTACTGAACAAAAGGTTTCTCTAAGGAGATTTAACTGCTGTACTCTGATAAATCCCACTATGGAGATGCGGTCAGCATCTACATTCAAATGAGAAGGTGGAGGTGGTGGCCAGAAAACACATTATTAATCCAGAGCAGCTCTCCTTGGTGCACTTTTGTGAAGCAATTAATCACATGATGTAAGAGGTGAGTGCTGAAACAACAGTCTTTCACAAATTTCAATCCAACTCCCATTTATTCACCCTCCCTCCTTCTATTTGAAGGGTCTCCTTGCACACAGATCCACTTACAACATCAGCTCTTGTGACCTTGCTGCGGCTACAAGTACATCGGTCATCTCCTGACTCAGAGCCGGTCATTGTGTAACAGCAGATAAACCGCTTGTAGAATAAGTGATGCGTGATTTAGGAACACGCGTTCACGCACACACTAACCCACGGAAGCAGACAGCTGGGCAGTGAGGTTACTTGTTTCTCAGCCAGCATCATCTGCTCTGGTGGAGCTGCTTAATACACATACTGTATACTGGGTCCTTATTGCCTGTAAGATGATGAAAAATTAAAGCTCACCTTTGCAGATTCACATATTGAAATGCACAATCGGGCCCTTCGTTACACAAGAACTGGGATTTAAATTATGGTTGCTGATGTCTACAGGAAGTTACACACGCGCACACTCTGACACACAGTATCATCATTCAGAGGGTTGCTGGCCTGTGCTGGACTATAACATGTCCTTGTGTCTTTTGTTTGGGGTCAGCCTCATATACACACTTCACCTCTCTGGAACATGTTCCCCCTAAAATTTAGCTTTACTCAATGTATAACACCTAACACTTGCATATGATTTACTTCTCAATGTGATGCACCTAGAATTTGAATTAATATTTTTAAATTAGCATGCGGTTTATGACTTGTGACTCAGAGGCTCTTATCACACAATCTGGTTTTAAAGAAGCAAGAGCCTAACATCGTTCTCTGCTTCTTCTTTTTTACCCTTGTAATGTCATGAAACGTATTTAATTTGCCCTTTTAACTTGCATTCATGTTAACATTTCAGAGAGTCTTACCAACTTTGAATAATATACATTTTCTCCCTTTTTGGCTTTACTCAAAGATTAAAGGATAAGCAAACCAGAAAGGGGTTGAGGGGTGACTTGATGGCACAGTCTTGTTTTCAGTTATAAACTGTGAGTAATTGTAATTACTGTAAGGACAAAACATCTGTTTTTCCAACAAGATTTTTCCTCTGCTGGCCACGTAATAGCACATAATGGAGGTGAATTTTTGTTGGATTTTTTTTTTTTTTCTTTTTCATTTTTCTTGTATTTTCTCTGAATTTGCAAGCTTTGGAGTTGGATTCCAAAGCTGTAGTTTTATTTAGAACGCAATTTGATTGGCAATAAAATTGTGGCGGTGCATATGCAATTATGTAGAAAAGTTAAATGCAATCGTTTTGTGTCAGAGAAAAACATCACTGACAGTGAGATGGAGAATGATTTGCATAACAAATGTAATCCAACTTGATGCAGTTTACTTCTGGGAAATTGAACCTCTCAGCTTAAAAATGGCTTAGAAGTCAAATTTAGTGTCTTGACCTTTTTCTTGTTCTGTCTGTTCCTCCCCCTCTCTTTCTCCCACTTTCCTCTGTCTCCCTGTTCAGCTCCAGCTTCTGTTACACCAATTATACTGTGTCAAATCCATGCATGTCAGCTTCCAGATCCCTAATCATCCCTTCTCTCTTTCATCTGTAATCCTTTGTTCCATCCTCCTACCCCACTTTTTCCCCTCGCTGGTAACCTCTCCTCTCTTCTTCGGTCGTCACACATCTCCACCCCTCCGTCTGCTTCACATACTAAACCCATCCTCTCCATCCTCCTTTCATTTGGCTCCAGCATACCATAGCACCTTGTCCTCACCCTTTTGAGTTTTCGATTCTATTTCTAATTGCTGTTTTATGGCTCTTCCTGAGACTTCAGCAGCTCTGGACAAGAGGGCTAAAGAAATGCCGTCTTGTTAATTTTTCTGTAGAAATAGCAGTGGTAGTTTTAATAGGTGTGAAATCGGAAAGCTTTGCATCGTTGCTATCACTTTTTGTCTCTGCCTGGAGTACATAAGAACAAGTATGATCAAAATTAGAAATTTTCTTTGGAAGCATTAGTTTTCTGCTGTGTTTAATAAGTTGCATCATAGTTAAATATTTGAATTTTAAAGAAAAAACAGTGCTATATATTTTTAGTTTCTTTTACCACAAAACAGCAGATGTGCACAGAAATAGCTACATTTCAGAAGAATATATGGTAACAGGTGGTATTTATGGTGTTAACGGGGGCATCGGTGGCTCGGGTGGCGGAACAGGTGGCTCCCGCCTCGAAGATTTCCGGTTTTAATCTTGAGTTTCCTGGGGAAATCAAGTGCACCAAGAAGGGCATCCAGTGTAACATCTGCCAAGTCTGTGTGCATGCAGCTGTGGGTTGGGGGAGGAGCCTTAAAGCAGCAACATTTATTTTGAGAACAATGGAAGTTTTGCTAAAAAGTTATGTTTAAAAACTATCGTTTTTTGGTAATGGCCAGTTTGTCGTCAAGATAAATCAAAGTTATATTATCATTGCCTGCACCTACTGACCATAAGTTGACAAGAAAGCAGTTTCTTCAGGAAATGTCTTTCTTTTCTTGCTATTTTAGCAACTTTTAAAAGAAATAGTTCAATCAGTGTTATTTTGTTTAATTTGCCTTTTTTATAGAAACAGTTTCTAACTAATAAAAAGAAAATACGGTTCAATAAAAGGACATTTTTCCTTTTGATTCTATTGAAATAATAATAACAAAAATCTTCCATTTTCTGTGTGATTCTTATTGTTTTCATAAATGGATGAATAAAAAAGATCATTTGTGCATAAGGCTTATGTCTCCCCCACTCTTGTCCCTGGCTGGAGAGACACATATGGGAAGGTGTAAATGTTGTGACTGTAGCAGCAGGGAGGCAGGAGATGGAGAGGGAGTCAAGGCGAGGGAGATAAGGGGGAGGGGTTTGTTTATTTCCCTTCTTTAAAAAAAAAGATAACTGCGCCCCCAGAGTCCACTGGAGAGAAAAAAAAAAAACACAAAGGTAGTCGGATGTAGGGAGACGGGGAGACAGATGACTGAGAGCCGGGGACAATGGGACGCAGCATGAGCAGCGGCCGAGATTCCCCACAGCGACGCGTTAAAAACGGGAGGAACGGACGGACATACGGACTCACGGAGGCAGCGCGCGTGCCGGTCCGCCACTCGTCGCCCAAACAATGAACGTGCTGTGGTCGCTGCCGGCAACACATCGTAGCCAGAGGGGTGCGCACTGAGTGAGAATGACAGAGACGGAGAACCAGAGTGGGGGGGTTAAATGGAAATAGGAAAGATGGTCTCTTCCCCCCATAGATAGCATGTGCTTTTGTTCATGGTTGTTCTGTTTGCTCAATCATGTGTGTCTCAGTGTGGCTGATGTGCATTACCGGGAAACTGTCTGACACCATGATCTTCTGTAACCATTTAGGTGAATACAAGAAGGATGAGCTGCTGGAGGCGGCAAGGTGAGTACCAGACTCTGCATGTTCTTTGTTTTCATTTCTCTCCTCTCTTATTCTTCTTTCAAGTCTTTTAAAGCCTTTTTTTAAATACTTCATTGCATCTTTGTTTTCTCCTCCTTTTTTAGTCATGCTATTTGTTTTCTTTTGCTCATTTTATTTTTTCTTTTGTCATCCACAAATCTTCCAACCTTGTTTTTATTCTAATCTTTATCCCTCTTTAATCCATCTTGTCCTTTTTCTCTTGTTTGATTATATTTTTTCTCCACCTCAGTGCATGCACACACACTTGCACACACTCAGCTCCCACACCAGTTCTGTATTTTCAGATCCAGAGCCCGGTGCTGGTGGGCCAGCGACACTTGTTCGTTTTCGAGGCGTGTTATGGTTGCAGGCAGTTCATGTGGGCTGTGTGTGTGTGTGTGTGTGTTTTTTTGTTTCTGCCAGGTTCTCCCATTTGGAAGTGAAGTAGCTCTCTATTTGGGATTGTGTGTGGGTGGTGGAGAGCTTGATGCCTCAACAAAACCCCCCTCACCCTCCTTTCCCTCCATCTCTTCCAGCTCAACACACACACACACATAAGGAAGCAGCTGGTTTAGAATGGACGTACCCCAGTGTATTGAGGGTCAGAGGGCTGTTTATGTGTAAATCCAGAATAGTCGTCTCCCAGCTGAGTCCATGACTGCCTTATCACTCTGTCATTACAAAGAACTTCCTCTTTTATTTTAGGGTCATGCTCAGTCAGTTCACTCCCACGTTTGGCCTACAGAATGTAGATGTTTGTCTAGTTTATTTGTATATCTATTTATGGCCCACATAGGGCTTCTGTTTGTGTTTGTGCAAAGTTATGCATGGCATGGAAGGAGCCCTGTGGCCCCACGCACTGCTAGGAGGAAAATGTTGTATGGATAAAAAGTTAATGCCGGGTTTCAATGCATCCTGGAAAAGTATGGAATTTGATTAAAGCATTTTCTAGGTCTAAATAATTAAAAAAGGAAGACACTTTTCTGATTTCATTCCTTTTCTCATCTATTAAAATACCACATCCTCTCTTCTTTGTGTTCATCTTTTCGTCCTTTTTTTTCCCTTCATCTTTTCCCATCCCCTTTTCTTATATACTATATTATTCCTTCCTTGCATCCTTCATTCCTTCTGTTGTTTCTTGCCTTTTTGTTCCATTACATCTTCAATTCCTTCCTTCCTTCCAATCTTTTGTTTCTTCCTTCCTTCCTTGTCTTTCTTTCTTTCTTTCTTTCTTTCTTTCTTTCTTTCTTTCTTTCTTTCTTTCTTTCTTTCTTTCTTTCTTTCTTTCTTTCTTTCTTTCTTTCTTTCTTTCTTTCTTTCTTTCTTTCTTTCTTTCTTTCTTTCTTTCTTTCTCTCTTTCGTTCTTTCTTTCTTCTACCTTTCATCTTTCCCCATTCTTCTTTCTTGTATCCTATCTTACTTCCTTCATTGCATCCTTTCTTCCTTTTGTTGTTCCTTTTTATTCTGTTTTATCTTCAATTTGTATTCCTTCCTTCTTTCCTGCTATCTTTTCTTTCTCCTTCATCGTCCCTACCTTCTCTGCCTACCTACTTTCTCTCTCTGATACCGAAACAACCTTTTTCCTTCCTTCAGTTCCAGCTTCCAAATCAAATACTTTGCAGTTTGTTGGACATGTTAGAACATATTCTTGACGTATTCACTGAGCAGAAAATTATTTGATTTTTGAGTTTCCAAGCATCTTGTTACCTGTCAGGGCTGGTCAAGTTAATTCTGTCGCCAGCAGATTTCTTGATGCATTTTTAGCTAAAATAGGTTGGACTGTAGTTTATAGTATGTAGTAAAGGAAGACAGAAAAATAGCATTCATATGGCACAAAAGATTTTCCTACAGCAATAGATTTAAATATCAAAATAATTAGTGATATTGTGAAGTTTGAGTAACATTATTCATTCCAGTTTCATAATCACATCTAGGTGTAAAATGAAAGCCTGCTTTTCATGTTTTTTATTTCTTCAAGACATTAAGTAAGAGCTTAGGTGGTTTGAAAGACTTTAATAAGATGAAAGTCGGAGGGAAGAAGCTTTGCTCATTTTGTAGAGACTGAACAGACTGAGCTAAAGAACATCACCAAAAGTTTTATCTTGTAGTTGCTGTTCATCAAATATGAACATGCTTGTTTTATTATTTCTACAATATGTTAGAATGTCACATTATATTTAACAGGATTGCATAGCAATTGATTAAGGTGCTTGATTGGAGTAGTCCGTAAAGTATCTGTCGGTAATCTGGAACTGAGTTTAAAGAGTTTAAGTTCTGTTTTAAGGAGATGGAAAACACAAGTGCATTACATGTTCCAGATTATCATCAGGTAATATTTGAAACAGAAACATACACAAGTTCTAAACTGGCAGAATACATTTATTTTGGAAGCATTATTTGACATGGAATGGTTATAAATGAACAGTTTTCACAACAACTCTAGAATCATAACTATTAAGGGCATTAAAGACTTTTAGAAATATCAGGATGAAAGAGGTTTTGTTGGAAGTCCTGATGTTGGCCTTCTGTAAAAGTTGTGATATGGCAAGAATGTAAAATGAGATTTCTGAGGTTCCTACTCAAGTTGTTATTGGCTTTTAATTCTGCAGTCACACTGGGAAGATGTTGGGATTTGAAGCAAGGTTGAGTTGGGAAAAAGCTGTGAAAAGAGATTGAGGGTGCAGATCAAAAGAGGTAGAGTAAGAGGTGCAAAAGGGCAAGAGAGATGGGAGGTAGATTTGATTGAAAAGGCAGAAGGAAGGCAGCCAGTGTTGGAAAAAGATGAAAGAATGCTAGAGAGCTTGAATAGGATATAAATGTCAATTTGGCTGGTGGTTGTAATCAGATTATTGAAGCAAAGAGAAATGGAGAAGACAGACAATAGTAGATGGTTATTGGATAACAAAGCTGCACTATTTTTTTCCCAACATGTTGAAACCTTCTTCCTTTAAGACTGTCTGGGAGATGAGGCATGACTCCACTTGTTCTGGCTGCATCTCCCGATGGCCAATCGAGTTCCAGAGCAGTGACCTTAAAAACCAAAAACATAGATCAACATCAAATCCCTTAAGTCAGGCCAAAATACTCTGGGGCGTTTCAGCATGACAGAGCGCCTTCAAATCATCCCCCGAACAGTTCCCTGGGTCTCTTCAGTCTCAAGCTTCTGATAATGTTTTCCTCCTATGTTTTTCTTCCAGTCTTGCTTCTTTTCTAAACCTCTGTGGTGGTGGTTGTTTCTCTTCTTAATGTGTGCCTTGGTTTGTGCACATCTTCAGGAGTGGAAACGAGGAGAAGCTAATGGCCCTGCTTACACCGCTCAACGTCAACTGCCATGCGAGCGACGGCCGCAAGGTAAGAGTCAAAGTGCGCGCACAGAGGGACTGTAAAGCAGTAACGAGCTCATCACTGTCATCTCCCGCAACTGCATTTTTGGATGGTCATTAGGGTTACAAAACCACCCGGCTAGTATTTTTTTATTTTTATTTTTTAAGAGAAACAAATGCTGGTATGACAGCTGTGAGCCTGTTTTAAATAATCTGAGCACTCACCAGCAGGCATTGGTGTCCTTTCTTGGCTGTCAGTCATTTAAATGAATAGATGGAGACGCAACTTTTTTCTGAATAAATTAGCACTCATGCTGAACAAAAATGATGCATCACAGCACACAAAAACCTGTCAAGAGTCATGGCCAGAGCCATGGAAAAATAAGCTTTTTCTGATGTCTTTTTTTTCCCCTTCAGATAAGTTTGGTATGTTGCATGTCTATTCAGGGTGCACCAATTTTCTGGCTGATCACTGATCTTTAAAAACCCTTGCCTGCCAATTCTGATTTCATCCAAGTTTGTTTTGTGTTAAAACTTGCTAAACATAACAAAGAAGTTGCTAAGTTGGCAACAGTGGAGCAGTGTTGGCAACAGCCCCAGATTCCTTAATTTTGGGAGATCAGCTGATACTTTATTGTCTCATAAGAATTTTTATTTACTGTTGTCCTGATTAAATTTAAATTAATGATGTTTAAAATCTTCTAGTGAAAATCGCTATTGAAAATATAATTAATTGCACTTACTTTAAGCCTATTTCATAAAGGAAAGCTTTTCAAGAGCAATATCCAAGTTAATGCGTCTATAAATGCTGTTCCATGCATTCACAGACATGCAGTTATCTAAAAATTAAGAAATAAATTGTGTTTTGTCATTATTTGTATCAGTGTCACAATACTACCACAAACTATCATGATGTAATTCTAAATCCACATCGCCCACCCCTACAGAGAGACTGAAAGATCACCAGGTCAAATCTGCACATGTGCAGTTAACACTCCTCATCCCACTGTTGCCAATTTAGTGACTTTGTTTTTAGAATTAGTGATTTTCCAGACAAAATGTTTATGACGTCCAAATTTAAAATCAGCGTTTTAATAAATTTTGGTGATCAATGGGGAAATGCAACCAGTGGACCCCTTTTTAATAAATTTTGGATTTACTTTTATTAAAATTGCACCAATTGCAAGGTGTTTTAACAGACCAATCATATCCAGTAGTATAGAATTTGATTGATCCAAATTAAAGTTCATCTTCAATAGATTTTGTTTGTTTGCAGTGGAAATAACAATTCTTTATTGTAAGTTGTAGCAGACATCTTCATGTGTCCAAATACATAACCATGCATGTTTTGCTAATGCACCTTCACTTCCTAAATCTGCGTTAAAATCTAGAAGTACAAGTATTCAAGTACAAATCTAGAAAAGAAGCAGATTTAAAACGGGTTTCTTACCGGACGGAGTTAACTTAATCGAGTAGTTGAAGCAATCTGCCTTCGATTTGCTGCTGATGAGCCATGAAGCAGAAAGAATCCCGCGGTTAGACTTGAGGGCATGAGGTAAATCTGGGTTTGCTAAATGAAATTCTAGGTACAACACAAGTACGCCGGCCTTTGGAAAGAAGCTTTCAGTTATCATCCTGCGACTCCAGCATCTGCAGGGAGCCCTGAGCTTTGGGTTTAGTTCTGCTGCTTTACAGCAACACGTCTGGCTTATGACTGATTAGTTCCCTGGATGAATGAGTGGAAGGAAAAGCAGACTGCTGTCTGGTTTTAGTGGCTTCTGGCTTTAGTTGGCGAAGTCCCTCTAGTCCTCCACATCATTGCCTTCCACGCTGACAGAAATATAAAGCCCTGTTAGTCTGGTTTTCTCGCCTTATCTTGACAGCAGAGTGACAACGAGGCTCCACTCAGCAGAGATCATTATCCAAACAATTTTCGGATCCCCAGTGGATCCTCATTGGTGTCTCTCGGGGCATAATCTCTTTGCATTGTCAAACATTTTCTCAAACGGCGTTTAAATCATCCAAGCTCAAGTGGAAAAAAGTTAAACTCCAGTCTTTTTCAAACAAGGCATAGCTCAATTTCAGCTCTGTGATCAGATTCTGACTTTTCTTTTAAAAGATCACTCTAGTTTATTGGACTCTGAAGTGAGGCTCACTGAGTTTTATAGTGGCTATGACAACTGCAGGGCCAGTCCGGGACCCAAAGGGAGCGTTTTACCCTTTACTCTCGGTGGCTGTCAAATAAATGCCACAGAAGCCTAGAAGAGGCTTTTTTTCTCTAATTATGGGTCCTTGAGTGATTCGGATGGTGCTCAGCTGCAGCTCGTGTTCATCATATTGCCTTCATATCCATTTGTGAGAGAGCATCTCCTTGCTGCGATGGGTCCGCACGCCCTGTCGGGGAGGTGATGCCTCTGGGGAAAGCCGTGCAATATGAAGTCTTCTGAGATGCAGGAGACACACTCATGAGATCATTTCCAATTGCTTGAATTTAATGGAGCATGAGTACATTATGGCAGCCATATCCCGAAAAAAAAAAAAAAAAAAAAAAACTGTCCCCAGATATACAATAAAACGACCTCTCCTGTACAATCTTCATTTGCGCTGCTCTTTAATTGCTCCACAAAGACAGTGCGCAATATGTTTTCCTGCCTGGTCTATTTAATCCACGCTGTGTTCTGGGAAGTTATTGCTAATTTAAACCGCAATGGAGCTGAGAGGAGAGATTTACTGAGTTTTACGGTACTTTGCGGGTTCAAGTATTAGATGAATTATGAATGTAAAAAAAAATAAGACGTTCATGTTGAAAATATATTTATTACATTCCTTCACCAAGCTGGACTAATACTTGTGTCAGTTTTGCATTGCTTTCTCGTGTATTCTTAATAACTGGATTTTTCCCCTTTGCATCTGAATTATCCCTTTACTGATTTTCTGGGCATCTTGACTTGGTTTACTGAAGTAACGCGGCCGTTTGACTGCAGTAGTAATTACAATAGATCAGAATGAGGGTTTGTAAGAGCGGAGTTTCAGTGGCTGATCAGAGGCATCGGCCGTCCTGTTAACTAAAGAGCAGCACCGTAGAATATTAAGAAAAACGAATACCTGCATTAAACAGGTATTTGTTGTAAATGTTTTAATACAGAAGGGAAAATTGTGATTAAGTCGGAGTTACAAATAAATTGTATAATATCATTGTGCAAATACTGAGAGCACTTCTAAATACACAACTGCCTGTTTTTATATCCTAATGTACACTAATATGGACAAGTCAAGAAAATCTTAGCACTACAGCAGAAGCTAATATCTACAGATTTTTTTTTTTTTTTTTTTTTTATCTCAGCCAATCAGCTGTAAGTAAAATGAGCAGCGCCCCTGATTTGGCTGCTTTGTAAATGCCAGCCAATTGCATGTCAAGTAGCATTGTGGCAAAATAATTCAGCTTCCCTAGATGAATTTTCCTTTGGAAATGGAAGGTGAAGATTAATATTAGATTTTATCTGCAAAAAATGAGTAAGTTTCTGCAATTAATTGGGAGTTAATTGCCACAGAAAAATCTATAAATGGTTGAATTTGCAAACAGGCAGGAGTCCAATGTAAACGCAATCAATGTGGAAGTCGTGCAGCCCGACATTATATTTTCTGCTGTTACTAACTATATAGTACAATACAGTTTTTTGGTGTACTGTCTGTGATATTGTCAGCCATGTTTAATGCAATTGTTATAACAGTCACTTGTTATTTGCCTAAGCTATATTTTAGGCTGACTACAGTATTTTTATTTAATTAAAAAAATCAGACCAAAACCAAAATGTCATAACCACTGATGGAAAAAAACAAAAAATCTCAGAAAATTTGAGGAAGGTGGTGTGTTATCAGAACACCAGAGTAACTCCTCTGACCCATATTAGAGCCGCATGTTGGAGCTACTGCAGAAACCCCTGTTGGGAGAAAAATATCTGAAGAAAACAGCTTGGAGAAACTGCAGCGTCATGAACATCAATAGCAAATAAGTGCAACTCTGATAAAATAGTTATTTCACTGTGCATTAAAGCAATATGCATCCCACTGATGCATATTTTCATTTTAAAGACTAAGAGTCTAAAGGGGCAGATGTTTAACTTAAATAATTTCATCATTATAAAAGCATGGGATGGAGCGTGGGGGAAATGGAGTGGTCACAACTGCATCAGAGATCTTTAGATGAAAGAAAAGTCGAATTTTCTCCAGTTCCATTTGTTTGAGATGGTGTCTCGTGAACATTTACTAGGCAATCTAAATAATAGCAAACTGAAAATAATACACAGAAAACCTGAAGCCATTCCGGGATCACTGTCCTGTTTGTAACATGGAGGCCATTAAGATGCCAGAAGTAAGCTTGGAGAAACTGCAGCAGAGGAATCATTCTGCGATCCAGTTAGCCATCCTGTTGTTTCCTAAAGCTCCTCCATGTCCCCTATAGAGCAGCAAGTGTAGCAGAACAGAGTTTCCGCCTCAGCTGCCACAGTCCAAAGCAACTCTCAGCACTTTCAAAACAAGAAAATAGGTGAAGTTTCCCTTTTAATGCTAAAATATGCACATGACCTTCTTATATCTGATTCAAAAAGGCCAATTTGTGCAGCAGACCCGTTTGCCGACAATGAGACAACATCCGCCTGTATCTCTAAACTTTAAGCAACCTGGGATATCACATGAATACATTTGTTTATAAGCAGTGGATGAGAATACTGTGTATTTTTTTCACGTTTAAATTTCAAGAGGAATATAGGCCAAAGCATGCACAGGAGGATGGAATGGTGGATGAATCAGGATGAATCGGGGGCTTCAGCTTGACTTTCATTTAATAACATCAAAGGCTGGACCTTTGATACTGATATTGAATCAGATCAGTCTTTACCACCTTCGTTTTGTTGAAGCAGAGATAGATTTACAGTACTTCTGTAATTAGAGACGATTGACCATGACATATTATTGGAGATCTGAGTAGGAGTCTCTGGTCCAGTACTGAATTGGTTCAAAACTTACATA